AAGGTGACCTGTTGCAAACAAGAAGTAGTCATTATAGATGTCCGGTGTATGGTACTTATTTACTCAAGAACTTTTAATGTTGTCTTTGTTTTAATATAGGTTAAAAGATGAACCTTTGACCAAATTTGCAGAGTTCATGTTCATTATGAATGATGACAATACCTTAATTGATATACTGGTAGTTCAAATTTATATTCCAAACTAACAATGACTAAAGTAGAAGTGTGACAAAATATCAATGAAGACCCTGAACAATAAGGAAATGTATATCACGTGACTCTAAGTAGTGCTTAAAAAGCAATTAAGGCAAGCCCCAAAATTCACTTCCTATTTACTTTTCAAGTTATCACATTGTCTGCAAACTCCCCAATTCAGTACAAGTGTCATCATGGTATTACATAAGGATATAAAAATTATTCTTTTATGTTCCCCGCTTTCGCGAAAGCGAGGGGACGTTTTAAATCCCATTCGTCTGTCAGTCTAGCTGTCCGTATGTCAGTCTATCTGTCACAAAACCTTTAACTTTGGTCATAACTTTTGAATGAGAAGAGATGGGACTTTCATATTTCACATTAGCTGTGACAAGACCTTTCCAAATATACTATGATTTTTGACCCCGTTACCTTGACCTTGAAGTTTGACCTACTTTTCAAAAATTTTAACATTACTTTAAATTGGTCATAACTACTGAATGAAAAAGATAGAGCTTTTATGTTATACATGTATATTACCTGTGATAAGACCTTTCCAAATATACTACAATTTTGACCACATGTCCTTGACCTTGAATTTTGACCTACTTCTCAAATTATTTATCTTTGCTTATAAATTTTGATTGAGAATAGATAGGGCTTTCATATTTGAGATGTGCATTACCAGTGACTAGATGTTTCCGAACATTTATGATTTTTGACCCCTTGACCTTCATGTTTGACCTAAATTTCAAAAATTATAACTTTGGTGATTACTTTGGAATGACAGGCCGTTCATATTTGACACATGCATTACCTGTGTCTAAATGTTTCCAAAGGTGCTATGATATTTGACTCCGTGACCTTGACCTTCAAGTTTGACCTTATTTTCAAACATTTCATCAGTGCACTAATTTGAAGGAGCGAAGATATGGCATTCATATTTGACAAGTGCATTGTCTGTAACAAGCATTTCCAAATGTACTATGATTTTTAATCCCATAACCCTGACCTTGAAGTTTGACCTAATTTTGAAATTTTAATATTACTAATAATTTTTGATTGAGAGAAGATATGGCATTTACATTTGACATGTGCATTACCTGTTTCAAGACCTTTTTGATTGTATACTCAGGTTTTGGATATTTTTTTTCACTTATGTGTATTTCTTGTGACAGGACCTTTCGGATTGTATTATGATGGTTGACCTCATGAACTTGATCTTGAAGTTGGATGTAGTTTTGAGGAGCTATAATCTTTGTCAAAAATGTTATTAATTCAATAATTTATGTATTTTTTATATAATGCACAGGACACACAAACAAGACAGTTACAATATTCCATAAATAATGGCATCCCATCCTCTAAGACACCGAAAGCGGGGGACCACAAATCTTTGAATTTGCTTTTGTGTTGTTTTCTACCGAAACCCATTTAAGACCTATCAAAAAATATTTTTGAATTCAATATAACGAATTTTCAAATTTGTTTAAATGAATTTAATTCGTTGTATCAATTTTTGAATTCGTTATAACTTTGTTATAACAAATTTGTCGAATTCATAAATATTTTACTATAGGCCCTTAATGTAGTTAGATTAAACGAATTCGTTATTAATAATAAATGTCAGCATTCTTTTAACGAATTTAATTCGTCATAACAAAGTTTGGAATTCCTTTAAACGAATTTAATCTTTTATAACAAATTTTGAAATTCGTTGTACCGAATTGGTTTAACAAATTTAATTCGTTATAACGAATTCAACAAAGAACTGCGAACGATAGTATTGTTATGTCGCCTACCTCCAAGTCAATTTTCAAAGGTTAACATATTTGAATGATTTTCATATTTATGAAATTATATTAATATTTATGATATATGAATATTTATGATATTATATGAATTTTCACTTAACATAACTATTTGGAAAACAAAGATAGATAACAATAGGAATTTTGGAAAACTTTTTTTAAACTATAGAAATCAACGAAAAACGGATAAAAAAAATCCATTACACATTTTTATGATAACATTTTCACTGGTAAATAAAGGCATTATTGTTGTAGGGTGTGAACCTCATCAGTTGTAAGAACTTGAGCTGTAACCCTTTAATTGTATGGTATTAATAAAATATGTTAAAAAAACATTACTGAGGTTTGACAGAGCTGAGCAACAGATGTTAAGAATTAATTGTATTTGTCTTATTAACTTAATTTAGTGACTTTCTTGGCAATTTAACTACAGGTAGATTAAATATTGAGTAATTATAAGATCAAGCAGATTAAAGCAAACATGGCAGCTCATAAATATAAGTAAAACTGAAAATGTTATTATCAGAAAGTCTTATAGTATTTTTTATAACATCTGTGATAATATTTATGTACAAAAAGAGTAATTTCAGCACTAAAATGTATGTTTTCTCTCTGATAACTTCTCTGACTTGCTTTGACCATACACGATTGATATGACTGAAATCAATCTAAAAAAAAAAAGAATGTCAATTTTCAATTGTATGTTCCCTTTGTTTAGGTTGTGACGTCGTAAATTGAAGGAAGCACAGGTTAATCTTTAGAAACAAGATATTGGAATCAGCTTTCAAAACTATGACCAAATTTAGTGTTAGCGGAATTTCCATCGACAAGCTGAGTAATACAATGTAATCATGAAATTATTTACCCTCAAAATCTTGATTCTTTCGATAAAGTTATAATTAGTTTTTTCAAATGAAAATCTGCGACACATAACCATTCTCATTGCATTTCACAAATAGAAGGATAATTGGAGCAACATTATCCTTTTTTTGATGTCACGATTAATTGTCTAATAGAACAGCGTCCATCATAAAACAGCTGTACAATGGGTAGAAATGTTTTAAAAATTGAGTGATATTTTAATCCGTCTTTTGATGGATTGTTCATTGTTTATTTGACCAATGACGCTCCCTGGCCATTGGTCAAACAAAAATACAAACAAATTGGGAATGACAAAAGGCATAAAATTAAAGGACTGTGGGTAAATATGACGTCATTAGATGTAATCCATTGTTATATCTGGGCAAAGAGTTTCACGCCTTGCTGTTTTACCGGAGTTTTATTATTGGGTAAAAAATTCAAGGCGATGGATGGTTTCCTCTGAACAGTGAATTGTACGTATATAAAATGTGGGAAAGTAAGCAGATTTTACTTTTCTTTCTTGCCATTGCAGCGGTTTTGATCGGATTGTGCCCATGTCGAGGGAAATCTAGCACGAATTTGGATTTATACAGTCATCTTTTGAACCCATCTAGATATAACCCTGCCATTATACCTGGATGTAAGGGTAATGAAAAGATAACTGTTCAGATTGGAATGGCGTTAAGAGATATTGTAGAAATTAATGAAAAACAACAGTTGATCCGCCTGAAAGTATGGGTTCGTTTGACATGGAAAGACTGCATGCTTCAATGGGATCCGCTACAGTTTCAGAATCAGACCGAGTTAGTTGTTCCCTATCAAAAAATTTGGATCCCGGATATAACCCTGTATGAAGGAGTCAGTGATGAAGGGAATATGCCCGATATGGACGATTACAGAGGGAGCATAAGTCACACTGGGGATGTGACGTATAATTTCCCAAGTATTGTGACAATTGTTTGCCAATTCAATGTGGCGTACTTTCCTTTTGACCATCAACTGTGCAGCATGAAGTTCGGCTCTTGGATGTATACAGGAAAAAACATCGATTTAGAAAGAATGAAAAATGAAGTGGATATTTCTAGTTTCCGCAACCATAATGAATGGGACATTGTTGACACAGTCGCAGTTAGACACAATATTTACTACGGATGCTGCCCTGACCCGTATCCTGATATCACATTTCATATTCATATAAGAAGAAAACCATTATTTTATGTGATAACCATCATTTTTCCTTGTTTTCTGATAAATGTGTTGACTTTCATGGGATTTGTACTTCCGCCATTTGCTCCAGAGAAGATATCTTTACAGATAACCGTTCTTCTATCCACAACAGTGTTTCTCTTACTTGTCCAGGACAAATTCCCCTCGGCCTCGGAAAACTTCCCCCTTCTTGCCTTGTACTTTGCAATATGCATGGTACTCGTGTGCATTTCGTGCGTGCTGTCCAGTATAGTTTTGCACGTGTATAATAGATCTCCCGAAGAATACCCAATTTCTCCTTTCGCTCGCTCAATCTTTTTTGACAAATTTCGAAAAATCATGTGTGTGAAATCCGATATGGTTCTAAATGATGATAAGCTTGTTCAGATAAAAGGCATTCATTGCTTAGAAACGGGACAGTCCCTACCCAGGGAAAAATGCGTTGAGATACATAAAGGGAGGAAATCGTATAAGGGGGCAAAACTCTCCTCTAATAAATGCGGAATTCCAGAATATCCCCCCGAAATTAAAAATAAATCTCACAATGACCACGATAAGTGTCACATAAACAATGAGTGGGAACTCTTTGCTTATGTTTTAGATCGATTCTTTCTGTTGATTTATCTGTGTCTGGCTTTGGCCAACAGTACTGTTTTCGTCTCAGTTATGATGAACTATGATGGAAAAGACATTCCAATGGATTGATATGTGTTATTAAACCAGAACCAGAAGGATTTTTTCACATCACATTTGACGAAGAAAGATAACTCTACATGTCTAATGAGAATGATATATTGCTTATCAAGCTGGGTAATTTTCTAATCAATATTTTTAAAATAAGAAATAGTGAATTATATAATGTTAAAAAGAACCAAATAAATGCAAAAGAGTAATAATATTAGATTATTAATACTCTAGTACAAATATACATGTTACAAATCTTTGTACGTTTGCTAATTATATATATATATATATATATATATATATATATATATATATATATATATATATATATATATATATATATATATATATATATTAAAGCATTTATTATTGGTAATCCCCATCTGCTATAATCATCATCATCTTCTTTAGTTAGTTTCTTTTCTTTTCTTTTAATATCGACATGTTGCTACTATCAATTTTGAATTTCTTCTTGTGTATATAATTCTTTACTTGTATGCCCTTAGGGGCCCCAAAGTGGGATCAATAAATCTTATCTTATCTGTACTTTTTGTTCAGAATCCATTCAAAATGATCTCCATTCAATTATAAGCTTGCAAAGCTCATATTTTTAATTTCATAGAGAAAATTCTTAAACAATGCAGTTGTGAAAAGTGTTACTTCTTACCGAACCTCTCGGATTTCTTTTCAGTGTGAAAACCAATTACAATATCATTCAATATTAAAAAATATTAATAATAATAATAATAATAATAATAAAACATTTCTGTTGTTTTTTTTTCATATCCTTCATTAGATAGAAGTTGCGGGACACGAAATTATAACAATCCGTCGTAGACTGAATTCTATCAGAAATCATGTTTTACATGGGAGCGACCCTTTGCTATCTTAAATGGAATTCATTGATATAATTTTTTTTTTACATAATGTAGCATAAAAAAAATTAATTCAAGCGAAAAGTATATCATGAACTTTTTTTATAGATAAATCATTGTTGAAAATATCTTCGAATGATATGTTTATAATCAAAGTATCAACCCCCCTCCCCGCAATTTAACAATTTATAGATAGCAAAATAAAACTCAGGTGGTATTGATTCTAATTTTTAACTGTATAAAACACTGTTTATTTACTCTGTCACTATTTCCCTTATTGTATAACCATCTGAGTAATGTCATGTTCATATTTTTAAATTTTACCTGTATGTATTACAATTCAAAAATTAGACCAAGACACTGCATGTCCACATGGCTCTTTCCACCTATTTGTGAAGACATCCCGTGGCGATGGAACTGGAAATTTTGTCACAATTTTCTTAACAATTCTGAACTTTACCTTGGCAAGTGTCATACAGCTCCGACCACTTGAAAAGGTTACATTGTAACGTCATCGCATATTACAGTTTGTCAACAAATTTACATTGTAGCAATTATGGATACATCTTTTTATTTAAAAAGAAAAATGGAAATCGGCTTTTACCTGAAAATCGGATTGAGAGTTGTATAATTTGATTTTAGAAACATATTTGAGTTTTGCGCTCTTCCACACAAGATATCCCGCTTTTATTGCTCAAGTCCTAGTTAAAAAAGGTCTAGACCATGGTTAAAACATGCAGTTTGTCTGAATCAATCCGAAACAAATTGTTAAATCCTATATCTTGGAGAATATTTACAGGTCGTTGTTAGCTGCAAATGTAAATCCAGTGGATTTGAAAAATTGACAATGGGTAAGCAAATGCGGTCTGGTTTTCTAAGGATAAGGTCTAGTTTAGGATAAACTTGACATAATCTTAAAAAATTGTGAATATTAGAATATTCAGAGTAAAACTATCCAATGAAATGAGAACGGAATAGACAAATCAAATAAGGTAATTTATTGTTAATTGATTCGCGGAAAGCCATGTCCAAACTTAACCGAAAAGCACTAGATCTACATACATTTGAAAAAAAAAAACAGCCAAAGTTTTCACCATAAACCAAGCAAAAGAAAGCCCTGTGGAGGTCCTGTAGAAAAATACACTTTCAATCTGAATGCCTCCAATTCTCTCTTGCCTAAATATCTGAGATGAACTTCAATAGGAAAACAGATTTTTTTTTCTCTAGTTAAGTTTGAATTTGAGCATAAATTCTCACAGAAATTCTTTTTTCAGTACAAAATGTGATTTTGTCTAGTAATAATATTGCCATGTTCCCAACTAAAGAAATAAGACTTTACTGGCATTTTACTTTCCCAATGGCAAGAATCTATTTTGACCTTGCACTAGTTTGGCAAGTAAGCCATTTTACATGTACTTCTCTCAATTATAATGAAATTATCAGTATATTAATCAGCATATAACTTTTTAATTTTGAGGAAAAATCATTTTTCCAAAAAAGACAATTTTCCAAGATGGTTATTTCTCTGTGTGTGTATATTTTGGTGGTGGTGGTGGTGGTGGGGGGGGGGGGGGGGGGGGGGTTGAGGCTTACTGCAACAATTTCAATTGCAGGATCAATTTTGAAATTATTATTATTAAACAGTGCTAAAATACACGAATATTTTATGAATTATAAAATTTCTAAACTGTCAAACAGTGACATAACACCTTCATTACAAAAATGAATTTTGAATCTACTAGGCATAAGAAGTAACAAGAAAGCAAAAAAATATTTCACATTATTTAATATCTAAATGCATTAATGAAATAATTAACAAAATATGAATAATGAAAGCTGGAGAAAAATAATTCCCCAGGGATTAGAACATGGTGAAAGATGATGGAGAAATCCATTGTTCCCAAAGGTTAGCATGCCAGCACAATACAGCCATTTAAACATCACTTTCATATTCATTAATAAACTATAAATTCTTACAACCAACATTCCCTAAACACAGCTTCCATAAGTTTGCTCACATTCATATATATTAAAATTACACTTTAACAAAGTGTTATTTGAAAGTTTTCTTTTCTTTCTCTCTCAAGAATGTTGCCATTTTGTAAAAAAAAAAAAAAAAAAAATAATAACATGTACTACAACCACTCTAGCTATTGAATTAATTGGATATTAAATTCCTCATTAAAGTAGATCCAGGATCACTCTTCACTTAGATAATGTTTGACAAGGGAGATCACAAAACACAGAGTTTAGATTTGTTTCAATGCGACATATATGTATAAATATGTACACAAGTTGACTAATATCACAGTTAGAAATCTTTGACGGAAGTATGATACTGCAAGTATAAATGTTTACACTACATTACATTGATGAATAAGGAATACAGAAACTCTATGATATGCTGGATTAAAAAATAATATAAGTAATATTTTGACTGGAAAAAAATTAAATTATCCATATACATTTAGTCCATATGTAATTGTAAACCTACCCATGAACTCAACAAATTAGTTAAGCTTAAAAATCTGTATATATTAAAATTTAACAGCAGCAATTTAACCTAAAAACTTGGAAGAAAAAAAGCACTTCTAATGGCTACAATGTGTAATTATTCTGGTCATGTTCACTTATTTCTATGCTATCCGAGGATTTCTTAACACTTGTTCCTGCAGCCAGAATCCCCATGGTGATAATGTTTGGAGCACTACCATCTTTCTGTATGATTATAAGCACCAGGAGAGTTTTTGATTTCTTGGAGGTATATTTGTTTATCCCATGCTGGGAAGTGTTGCACATTGCCCATAGAATCTAAGCCTTGCTGTTGTGTCAGTCATAGCCCGCTGAATAAAAAAGAAAATTAAAAGAAATTACTAATTATGAAAATATTAGCAAAGTTTTTTTTACCACAGTAAACAAAGCTAATAATCAATGTTTCCATTAAAAATTTGTTTAATTTCAAAATTAACTTATAGTAAAAGTCTATTCATATTCAAATATGGAATAAAGTTGAAGGTGCATTATCCCCCTGTTGACTAAAATAGAATTTTGCTTAGTGTTCTACAAAAGAAGTCCAATTTGTAACTAAAATTTTCAGCAAACCTTGCAGGACAATATTTGACAGAACTGGCCTTTTTACTTAACAATTTCATTAAGAAAATAATAGTCACGTATTTCAGTCAGAGTTATCTCTCTTTTCAGAGGGTCCATGAACCTTAAGGGCAATAATAAGTAATTTAATTTTTTTGATGACTCACATGCTCCATTGATTTGTATTGGTCTAGGACTGTGACTGCCCTGAGTACTGCTAGAGGAGAGGGTACGCGGAGAACGGGAGTGGGAATTTGTGTTATTGTACAGGGAAGAATTCCGATGGCCGAGGTAGTCATCGTCATCGTCTAGATCTGACTCGTCACTAAAGAAGAAAGCATATTACATTTGAAATAAGGTACACTGAAAACATGCTTGTATGATCAACACAAAACTTCATTGTCCTTAATTATAATTTATATGCTAATAAACTGGTACTGTAAATATAGAAATACCAAATAGAACCTACTCATATGAATTATTTCCATGACGCCAACATATTTTTTAAAGGATGACAATATGACGGAACCAATAAACATAGAATGTCATCTTCTTAGGAAAGCATTTATATATTTGCATCTCTTTCCTTAAAGAGTGAAATTACTTAAGGATTTCTTTTTTTTTTTCTCAATTCCTTATGTTCCTACCTATTTAACATTAATTCATCATCACTAAGCATGTCCTCCTCGAGGGCTGCCTGTAAATCTGAGATGCGTTTGAAGGCCAACTTCAGGTCTGCATGCTTCTGTTCAAAATCTCCCTCTAAATCAAGCACCTTGCTCTCCTGTAAAGGGCAAAATATTTTAAATCCACATGTAGATAATAAGTTCATTTTGATTCACTGCCCCTTATATGTGTGATATGGATAAATAATGCTTATCATACATGTACATATAAACTGAATAATTTTATATATAACATTAATTTATAATTTTCAAGAGTTATCTCCCCTAAATTACTTAATATTCAGTACAGATACAATAATTTTCTTTATTTTCCAGATAAATTCATCTCAAATATAGATGATTTATAAAAAGATGAACAGAATCCAGAACTGACCAGTTCCTTGTTTTTCTGAGCCACCTCCATCTCTTTTTTCTGGGCATCGGAGAAATCCTCCCGGAGGTCCCTCAGCTGTCTCTGAACCCTCTTTACATTCTCCTCTGTCTGGGTCTTTTGGGTCATTAGTCCTTCCTTCTCCTCCACTAACTTGTCTACCTGCTCTTTTGTTCTACTTAATTGTACCTAAAAGTATAATGAGAAGGTTACTTTCTACAACTGCTGATCAGGACTTTTCATATTTCAAAAAAATTATATTTTAAAGAAGTTTGAAAGAGGAGGATTTAATAAATGAATTCTTTTCTTAGAAATACACACAAAAACAGTGGAATGGAACTATTTTGCTCTTGCTTTAATCTTGAATATATATGTAGGTTAACCATAGATACAAATACAATACTGAGCTACAATTTCAACTTTCAAGCAGCAAAATGGATAAGAACATATTTAAAAGATGGAGCAATCCCTTTATTATTACAACTAGTATTAGTTGTATCATGAGCAATACATAAAAAACTCGGCACTGGACTGACCTCTAATCTATGTTTCTGAGCAATTTCTAAATCTAATTTGTTTTCTAAATCTTTGATTTTGCTCTCCAGCCTTGCTACAGTTGATTTGTCTACTGAGTTATCTTCAAATCCCTGTACTTTAAGATGTAAATCAGCAATCTGCAAAAAAGCACAAAAAGTTAAAAAAAAAAACAAACAAACAAACAAACACATAAATTCAAAACCTAATGATTCTTTATTCAAAGTATTTCAGTATTTTGCAGATTCTCTGTAATTTACTAAGGCTGGGAATTTATTCTCAATATATTTGACTACAGTAAAACAATACATTTCGTAATTCTGCAAACAATAATTATCATAATTCTGTACTGCTCTAATTTAAAATATGACTATGTTATGCACATAACCAGGCCATAAACTGAGAACAGACTAAAGTAAAAATCTCAAATTAATATAACTTCTGAAATAATTTTTATAATCAAATTAAAATTTTCATCTGGTGTTTGTATTTGAATAAAATACAAACCTGCAATTTTTTTAAAACAAATATGTGAAATAAAAATCAAGATATTCAATTTCAATATTTTGACTTCAGTCTGTTTCTCAGTTTTTGGTCTTGGTGCCAGTTATTTTTTGTTTACCTCCTGCTTTAATCTCTCCCTGTCTGATGTTAATTCCTCTATCTGTTGTAATTGTTGTGAGATCACGTTCTGGTCCAGTGTGGCTTGCTGTACCACCGCCTTATATTTCCTCATCACGTCATTGTAGTCTTCCTCATTCTCATCTAACTGACTCTGAAGCTCCGTCTTCTCTCTCAGCAAAGCCATCGCCTTGTTTTCTGACTGCAGTAGGAAATAAAAATCAAAATTAATGGGAGTGATGGTATTCCGAAACATATCAGAAAAAACATAAAGCATTACTTCAACAATCATGAAAGAAACTCCTTTAAAAATTTTCTTTACTTGACAGGATACATTATTCCAATGTGCATTTGACCTATGACCTAAAATTTGTCCTTGAAGTATTTCACATTACCTCTGTTTTGGCCCTGAAGATGTCATCCAGCTGTTGCTGAAGGTCCTGGATTTCTAATTCCATGGTTTTCTTGGCTTTAGTGGCAGCAGCAGCAGTGTATTCAGAATCATCCAGCTACATAAATACATATATATTTTTTTCAAAAATCTCATGCCTAAGAACATTGAACATGCTATAATTTTATTTACATCTGCCAGGTTGTGCAAGATTACCACATAAATCAAGTGTATGGTATTAAATGTTACCCTACCCCTTAAAGTTCTGATCCACTTTCACTTTTAACTCCTAAGAGCTCTGATCTGATCATTACCCTATTCCTGAGTGACCTTATATGTGTTTTTTTTTACCTTATTCCTGAGAGCTTTGATCTGTGCTTTAGTTGCCTCAGTTCCCTGGTTCTTTTGTATCACAATCTCAGCATCTCTTAACAGAGCCCTGGTCCTGATCAGATCTCTCTTTAATCTCTTTTCTCCTTCTATTAACAAGACAGAATTAAACTCTCTTAATTGATGCAAAGGGTACATTTATCAAGTTTGTATCCATGCACATATATGAACTTTTGTTCATACACATCTATGACAAATCATGCACATAAAAATCTCATCAATTTTCATCCATTAAAACAAATCTCTTTCATCTCTATCTTGCCCTTCTTGACTTACCCTTGTTTATAAACCCTGCTTTAGAACTAAGCTCCTGGATATCTTGTCCTTTCTGACTTACCCTTGTTTACAGATCCTGCTTTAGAACTAAGCTCCTGGATTTCTTGTCCTTTTTGACTTACCCTTGATTACAGACCCTGCTTTAGAACTAAGCTCCTGGATTTCTTGTCCTTTTTGACTTACCCTTGTTTACAGACCCTGCTTTAGAACTAAGCTCCTGGATTTCTTGTCCTTTTTGGCTTACCCTTGTTTACAGACCCTGCTTTAGAACTAAGCTCCTGGATTTCTTGTCCTTTTTGACTTACCCTTGTTTATAGACCCTGCTTTAGAACTAAGCTCCTGGATCTGTCTTTCCAAGTCTCTCTTTTCTTGTTGTAGTTTTTTCTTATCATCATATTCTTCTTCTAACTGACTTTCTAAATTCTTTAGCTACAAAATCAACAATGTCTATGACTGTGCAACTGCAATAAAAATACATGTATTCCCAATAAACAATAATTATATACACATACATGTATATGTAGAAAACTTTTTCTGATAATTAGAGAATCTGTGTATGCCAAAGTTAGCTATCCTTATGTCTTAATTCTTCAAGTGAAGGGAAAAAAAAAACAAGTGAAGAATCTACAAGAAGATTTCAGTTGTGTTATTATACTGTAATCTCTGGACATTACTGTATACAGGGAATTTTTTGCCTCTGTTTATTTTCACCTTCTGCCCTACACACAAGTGGGCAAATTTAAGATGGGGCAAATTGACAGAAGACAGTATAATTTCTTAAACAAAACTCTGACTGGGCAAAATTAAAACAGGGCAAAATTGTCTGCAAGTATGAAAAGGTGAAAAGGAACGAAAAATGACCCTGTATACAGTATATCTAGAGTGTACTTATTAAGTATAATGATAGTAAAATCTGCATGTTTTACCTTTTTCTGCATGGCATATCTCATTTCCTCTATCTCCTCTTCCTTCTCCTCCAGTTCTTTGTTGTGCTGCTGTTTAGATCTCTCCAGGTTCATCTCTAAGCGAATCTTGGTCTGAAATGAAAATTACAATTTACAAATCATACTATGAAATTTGAAGTGTTGGAATCCAACTACCTATATCTAAATTAGTGATGAATTGAAACCAGTTGTGAATGGCATCATCACTTGAATTCATAGTATGAGTGAGCAGAAAACGTAGAAATATGGTGAAAAGCAAGGACCAAGAAACAACTTAGGCTTGCGCAAATCTGTGTAAGTGTTGTAATGTTAATGGAACATATGCTTTTTTGGACTATATCACCTGAGTGCTGTTAATCAAAAAATATCAATTTCAAATTATACATGGAGTTGATATATATGATTGATACCTAACCTAAAGTGTATGTCCATTTAAAGAATTAGATCCCTTACCTGTTCTAGCTATTATATCATTACATGACAAACAGATCCCTTACGTTTTTCTGCTATCATTACCTTACTGACAGATCCCTTACCTGTTCTGCTGTTATAACATTACTTGACAGACAGATCTCTTACATGTTCCTGCTATCATTACAGACAGATCCCTTGACTCAACCAGCTATCATTACATTGCAAACAGATCCTTTAACTGTTCCTGCTGTCATTACATTACAGACAGATCCCTTACCTGTCCCTGCTGTTATTACATTACAGACAGATTCCTTACCTGTTGTTACATTACAGACAGATTCCTTACCTGTTCTAGCTGTTATTACATTACAGACAGATCCCTTACCTGTTCATTCTGTCATTACATTACAAACAGATCCCTCATCTGTTCTAGCTTTCATTATATTACAGACAGATCCCTTACCTGTTCTAGCTTTCATTACATTACATTACATACAGATCCCTTATCTGTTCTAGCTGTCATTACATTACAGACAGACCCCTTACCTGTTCTAGCTGTTACAGTAAAACTCCTTCAGTACAAACACAGACATAGCGAATTCACGGATATAGCGAATTTTTCTTAGATCCCCAGCTATATAAATTTAACAAATTTCTTATACGGATATAATGAATTACGGATATAGCGAAGTAATTTCACAGGTCCCAGTGACTTCGTTATAACCGAGTTTTACTGTATTACATTACAGACAGACCCCTTACCTGTTCTAGCTGTTATTACATTACAGACAGATCCCTCACCTGTTCCTGCTGTCATTACATTACAAACAGATCCCTTACCTGTTCTAGTTGCTGTATCTGTCCGGCCTGGTCATCTAACTCCTCCTCCTGGTCCTTGATCTTTGACTCAAGCTCATGTTTGGCTTTCTTCAGAGCCATGACCTGAAATACACATACAAAGGGTCAATTTCTCTACAGACATCTACATGTATGTGTTTCAACACAGAAAAAAATGGGATGCTAAAATTAAAAAATACACATCAACATATATGGGGATCATCTGCATCAGCAATAATACCATTTGAATTATAAGTAATTGCATTAATACATCCTTGAAAACTTTACAAATAAAGTGTTTATAAATCTAGAAACCATCAAGTCCACTTAGTTTATTATTTACAACATAAAGATTTCAGGCTTTTTAAACATGAACATATGTATATAAAATATACCACAGCATATACATCAGTTTTAAAAGAAAGGGGCAGATTTTAAGTAAAAAGAAATATAAAGTGATATGAAATCAAAAGACAAAATATTTATGCATAAGTGCTCAACCATTATTGGCTTCAAGTACTTTTAAACTGGTCTGAACTTCAGAGCACTGCTGAACACCATTTAATGATAAGTAAATATCTTTAAGAGGATCAAGCAATACTTACATTTTGGCTACATTTTTTTTAATTGATGTTAAAAGCGAAATAAAATTTCAGTCAGAATTAATGAAATGACTTTTATTGACAACTTATTCTGAATTCAATATTTTAAGATTAGAGGCCTTCATGATGGGCTCAAATAATTAGGAACTGAGCAATCAGGTTTTTTACCCAATAATCATTTCAAACCTGATCTCCATGCAAACATCATATTTTCAATTATAACTTAGATGACCGTAACTTGACCTTTAACCTTGTGAGTACTTACTTCTTGGTCGGACCCTTTAGTTCCTGTCAGGGTTAAGTCCATCAGTTCTCGGTTAAGACGATCTACTTTCTCCGATTTCTCCTCGTATTCCACTTTCATTCTCTGTAAACACAAATTAAAAGTGGCTTCAAACTCTCTACAGAAACACAGCCAAGTAGACCATGACATAGAAAGAAACAAATTGTCAGTGTGAGCTCTTTGTCCAAATGTCTCTATGGCCAATTGATTTTTTTGGGGTGTTACTATGAAACAGGAGGCTTCAGTTGACACAAATCATCAACTTCCTGTCAAAATGACTCTTATTAAGTTCTAAGCTCACTTAGTTCCTCTCCAATAAGAAATCAAGTCTTAATATTCTCAACCGTTATGTCCCAAAGTGTGTAGAACTTCTTTACAGATCAAATATATACATGTATGTTCAAGGTCTTTGTTTGCATACCTTAACCTAAGAGAAGATTAAACAATCTACGTAACACCACGTACAAGATCATTTTTTAGCTATGATAAAGCACACAACAAAACATCAAACAGAAGGAGTCCTACTATTTTGGTTTAAAACCATAAAGGATAAACCATTGAATTCAAACACTCTGAATACATTTCCCAATCTATTAATGGATAATCGTAAAAAGATAAACCCAGACAAGAAATTACTACCCAGCCAGATTAATATTTAAATCTCACCTTTATGGACCGAGTCATAATAATAATAATAGCTAAACCCGACAGTCAATGTATGCTTAATCTTTAAAGTCATATAGCTTAGTACATGAATCACCTGTATTTCCTTACTTAGATTGCTTTTAGATGTTTCTTAATTGAAATAATTTTTTTTTAAAAATCTGTTCAGCTATTTACTTACATTACTGCATGCGGCTTTAATCTGATGAACAAGACTGCAGGCCCTACGTAACATTTCCTTGAACTTTACATACAAGAAAATGTTCCCAATTGTATTAATGCCATTTATGGTGCAATGTTCTGCCAAACCTAATCTTATTAATCTGGCATTGGATAATCAAAATTAATAAGCCTTATATGGTCACTCTTTATGAGTGTAATATAGTGTAAAGTACTCATAATGCACCCTGTGTATTGTTATCTATTTAGAAATACTCTGCTGGAGTTTAATAATTCAGTGCTTCAGCAGCTAAGGCCCTGTTGATTCTACACTGGTATGATTTTGACTGACCAACCTAATGGCGGTGTCCCTATCTTACCTGTTATTCTGCTTCAGTTTTACTGTAGCTGAGCAGAACAATCCTAATCTAATTCAGACCCTTCTGCTGTTTCAAGTTTTATACATACATAACTATTTTAAAATAAACACTGTTTATTTTGATATTTTAGCCTATCTGTAAGTCCTATACCTGGCATAATTTTAGGACAACAGAATAATCCAACTTTATATCACTCATATGTCCTGGTTCTGCAAAAAATGTATTGGAACTAAACAACCTAATTCTACCAATAACTACTTGGTCTAGCTCTAGTGTTATTTTGATAATTACCTGTAGGTCTTGTCTACTGTTATTTCAGTCTGATAATTACCAGTAACACTTGCTCTTGTGTTATTCTAGTATATGCTCTAGTTTTGTTTTAGTCTGATAATTACCTGTAAGTCCTGCTCTAGTGATCTTTCAGTCTGATAATCACCAGTAGCACTTGTTCTAGTGCTATTTTAGCATAATTACCTGTAGGTCCTGCTCTAGTATTATTCTAGTATAATTACCTGTAGGTCCTGCTCTAGTATTATTCTAGTATAATTACCTGTAGGTCCTGCTCTAGTATTATTCTAGTATAATTACCTGTAGGTCCTACTCTAGTATTATTCTAGTATAATTACCTGTAGGTCCTGCTCTAGTGTAATTTTAGTGGAAGCTAGTTGATCTCTCTCCCTCTGCAGTTTCTCTCGTAAATTTTTCTCGTCTCGGACCTCTTCCTGAATCTTGCTCAGCTCTGCATCAAATCTGTGATAAAGATGGCAGTTAATCAATAATTTGGCCCAATCTTACAGGTGAAAATCACACACTGAGGGACATGTAATACTTAGTGTTAAATGAATTCTTTTATTCTTGTTTAGGAATTCGTATTTCATTATGATTGCTACACTTTTTACGGTTTGGCAAGGAGATAATGCTTGTATCAACAAAACTTATATGGCCAACCATAGGAAATTTAAAGGTTCATATGATTATTAACTTGCTAGCTGAATATAACCACTATGCTAGTTATTTCAATTACCTAGATGTAGATAAAAATTCTTTTTTTTTAATTGGATTCCCAAAGACTTTTCTGAATACTGGTAGTTTATGATATAATCCAATTGAGCAACTGTCTTCCATGAGAGAAATTTTTTTCCCTCAACAATTTTGGATTGTTAGTTCCCTTTAATTACTTTTACATAGTTCAAATCAACTAAATACTAAGACTTGAAACACAATTTAAAAAGTCTTAAATATACCATAGGCATACATTTTTTCACATGGGATTAATTAACACTATATGTAAGCAGTCAAAAATTTTCCATGAAAATTTGTCACATCATAATGAAAGTGCAGTTAACACATACAATGGCAATCCGAGAAATTTGCATAATTTTATACCCTCAAATTGAAGAGAAATTGTGAAAAAGCAGAATTATGACCCAGTGGAAGAAAGTACGTTTATCGTTTACAAGAAGCTGAAATGGGACAATATGTGTCAATCCATAAGATGCTTCTCCCAACTCAAAAATAATCAAAAAATATCCAGATAGGTAGAAACATAACTAGCTAATTTAAATGGTAAAATTCACAATTAGAGGACATAGAAGCCACTCACTTCCTCTGTTTACGTTCCAGGTCATTGTTACGTGACATTTGTTCCTCTAAGTGGAGTTTTGTGTCCTGCATTTCAGCCACCAGACGCTGGGCCTTTTTCTTCGCGGCAGACAACTGTCTCCTCTGGTCCTCCGCATCCTCAATAGCCTCATGAAGCTGAAATTTAATGGAAAATAAATTTTTAATTGTATATCTCAATACAGTCATTAAAAAAAGAAAAAGAAATGCAAAATACATATCAATTCTTCCTATTTAAACAATATATATACTACAATATTTGCTCAAATCAACAAGATATCCAATTACATGGTATCCAAGTTTGACTGTAACATTTTTAGCCCCCCTCCTTTTACCTGTCTCAAAGTTGATTTTGAATTCATGACCAGAGGAAAAGTGAAAGGAAGATGAGAAATGCATCAAGACTGGTATATATAAATTCTGACTCATTTTAACTGCCAGCTACCAAAACTGACAAAAACGGAGGGATGTGATATTTTATGAAGTGGATTCAGCATTAATCAATTTGAAAAGGATGCCAAGAGGTTTTCCACGTGCATCGAGAACATTCTGCTTATAAACCTCCCATCTGTGAAGCCTATAACAAAGGATGCTTAATAACTAATTCTTCATCAAGTCTTAGACATAAGGACCCATCCAATTTAACACAAGTCTTCATCAGCCATTGATTATAAACAATTTTTATTAGATTAACTTTGTAGAAATCAATAGAGCGGGATATGGCAGGATAACCGTTGTTTACAATAGTGTTTATATTTATAATAGTTCTATCTACCAGGGCTAATTCACATCTGGTTCATCTTCTGCCAGGTTTCTTTCCTTTATAAAAATGCTTTACTTTTTTTGTGAGATCAGTCTTAAGGTGTACAAAACATGCATACTACTTTCATCAATGATGCTTTGCATCTGTTGGTGCAGATTTGCAATATCCTTTATTTGAAGCAAATGCCTATAATAATGCATAGATCAACAGAATTTCAATGCTTAAGTCCACATTTTTTAGCAATTAACTAAACTTTATATCTCTATCAAATGTCACTAAAAATCTTATCTAATAAAATGGTGAGAGTCATTAAAATACAAAAAATTCATCTCTGCATAAAAGTGAGGACTCTTTTGATGTATATCGGCTTAAACAGGCACTTGTACAACATCTGATTGTTATGGTTCTCAGCCTTTTGAACCTGATTCCTAGTGAAGCATTGCTTCAAAGCAGTTAATTGATTAGCCTGAGCAGTGACAGTAATTGTGGAGGAATGAATGAACAGAAGCACAGAATAGGTCTCGACCCCTGCTCCGACCCAGAGAGAAAAATGCAGAACAGATTGAATAACTTGCACTCCTGTCTGCTAGGAAATAAAGTGCAAAAAAGATACTGTAGACGTATGCATTACATTTGGTTGTGTATTCTTTTTAGCGCCTTTGGCGTAAAGCAAGTACTTCTGCTAATTCATTTACAATGCTAATTTAAATGTCTTACAATATACACATTTATAAGAATTAACATTAAAAAAAAATGTGTTAAATAAAATCTTTGCTAATTAACTTGTTCAGAAATCAATTTCCGCCAAGAATCATACACACTAAATATAAAACATTTACTATAAACATTTTTCATTTTTTTTATCAAAATGTTTTATTGTGTTATACAACACACATTCATACTGAAGTTAATATTTCTAAGTAGAAGTTTTCAAAATATATATTATTCAAACATTTTCTTTTAAAAAATTCAATTTAATACAATATATTTTAATTACCCGTAAGCAAGATTTGCTAAAATCTACATGATCTAAGCTTCCAGATATTTTTCGTTTTTCTCAATGTAAATAAAACTTATCAAAATACTTTAATAAAAATCACAAAAAGAAATTTTCATAATAGCTAGTTCACTTCAGTTAAAAGGCTATAAAAAGCCTGGGTTTTACATTCATGTACACAAATCGTGCTAATTATAGACTCAATCCAAAAGTACTATAACTCCATACATAATCCATCTACTTAAAAAGACTTAATTGTAGTCTGTCCGAAACACCATGCCAAGTACAGAGATTTCTTGTCTATAATGAAAACCCCATAAAAATCAGCTTTCTACTCAAAAATAATGTACATAAATAAAGGTAAATTGATAATAAATTGGAATCATTCAACTGGCTAGGTGAGAATTTTATGTGTGGGAAAAGAAAAAAAGAAAGCCAAATGTCTATTTCTGAAAACTCCAACATCTAGCAATCAAATGTCAGATCCTTCTAAAACAATCCACTATCACAAAAAAAAACTTTGAAATCTTCATAAGAATTTCCTTAATGAGAATATTGCATATAGTGAACAGAAAATATGAATTTGAATGCATGCTTACTCATTAATTTGCATTTTTACCTTTTTTCGGGAATGATTTATATCCATTGATAATGCAGCTATTAATGCACATTTATCTCAATAGTAATTAAATGATGTCAGAATTACATCCTAATTACGTTCAATTTATTAGTAAACAAATAGATAAGGACATCCTTAATACTTATAATCATGACTTGAGTCATCTTCGAGATTTACCACTGCCAATCATTCAATATGCTTTTTAATTGAATTTTTTTCTGAATTTCAACCAAAAAAAATCACAATTATATATATATATTAAAAATAAAACACTATACCTCTTTGGCTTTACTATGTTTAACCTCGTCCTTCATTTTCGCTAGCTAACACAATACTATCACTTGAGATCACAAGCACTTGGTAAAATATTTGCAAAATAGAAATCCCCTCGGAAACTCACGACAATTGTTAACACTAGAGAGCTTTCTCTCATCAATGGCCACACTTGCTGAAACTCCCGTAGAGCCACAGTCAAGAGGAGATAATCCTGTGTTATATACTCCAAGACAATGTTAGATAAAGACTAGCTTTAAGCCTGACACAGGTATAGCAGATATATGAATTTGTAGGTATAGTTTAAAAAAAAAATCACAGTTTCTCTATTGGGGCCCACCCATGGGGTAAAGGATGACACCTGAATGACTTAATTGATGGTAAACAATTTCCAGTAGTTAAATTCTTAATGCCCAAAGGGACTTTATACCTGCAGTACTTGTTTCAATACCCCCCTCCCCTCCCCCCCCCCCCCCCCCAAAAAAAAGAGAATTAAAATTTTTGTTTTAAAGTTGCATAGAGCCAACATTCAGTAGTCTAACTATTACAGAAACACTGGGCCTTGTTTTGCAATATTTCTTTACCTGTTAACAAAGACACCTTTGTAAATTCTTATGTTTTTATGCTATGATGTAATCAATGAATAATCAGTTTAAAAGTCATAGACATTTAAAGTTTACACCACTCAAGTACACTTATAAACCTTTCCATGAACTAGGTTTAACAAGTTATGGGAATAGTTGGAAATCTAAGGAAAAAAATCCCTCTCAAGGCCTCTTTTAGGGTCCAAATTAAGTAACAGGTAATTTGTTAAAATGGTGTAATGTGCACATTCACCCAGCCCTGGGGTCAAGTTTTGACATTCTAATTCCTGGACAAACAACAAAAGTGCATAATTACACAGCTATGTGTCCATATTTATTCTATTAGACATAATGTCAACTAAATATATAAGCTTTTTGAACTTTCCAGATGCATGATAGAATAAATTTCTGTTCCATCCAAGTAAATGTACATGAAATCTGGTCTGCATGAATTTCAGTAACAGCACGGGTTTCCAATTACCATGGAGTTAATTAAGCAAACTTCCCATACCTAATTAATAAGCTAGGTCTGTTTCTTGTTTAAGAATATTGATTGTGATTAATTTTGCAGAAAGTACCGACAGGTTTATGCCAAAGTTCATGCTTATAAAATTTGTGGCGCTTCTTTTTCTTTTTTACTACCATCAAGTTTATTTTATCCTATATTTAAAAAGATATCAAATCACAGTTATGAAACAAAAAGTCATTAATGTCAGATTTGATGGATTTGTGCAAAAAGCTATAATTCTTGAACAACTATTAAGTTTTTCTGTTCCTGTGTTCTTGTGCATGCTTTCCATGTCAAGGAAAGAAGGTCTTGACCTAAACCCAGACAGAGTGCATGTTGACAACTTGACATAAATCCCCTCATAATCAAAACTTCATAATGATCATATGTCGCCCTCAAAAACATTTCTTTTCTTTCTTTTTTTTTTAAATGATTATATTATATTTCATGTAGTTGTTAAGAGGAAAACTAAATTGTAACTGAGTATTGCACAGAGAAAAAAAATTATTAATTCATAAATTTTTAAAATTCTGCCCAATTTCATCCCTGTCCCTTCCAGCCAACATTCCTGAAACTTACATCATGAAATTTACACCTCATAATCAATGTGTATCATTGATCAAAATTTGAATCATGCATAAATAATCACTCAGTGTACCGTACCCTCTTTAGTATACAGGTAAACACATTAATGGGACTTTTTGAAAAATATATCCATACATCACTTCTCTCAAGGTCTATCCTAATGGTTTAGAACTCTATACAATGTTCTATCAAGCTTTAAGGTAGCACATAATTGAATGTGTAGTATATAATACCCTATTATTAAGGCAAGCATCCATTTTTAAGATTAATGAGGCAGTTCAAACTTTCAAAAAAAATTCTTCATCTATGGAATTACTATTCAGTATTCAATTTTTTTATGTTTATCTACAACATGAATATAGCTAAAGTATTTTTTGACTCAGATTTCTTCTTCAAATTGATAATTCTTTATATGAAAATCAAATATGGGGCTTTTTTTGCTGAAGGTGCAGTATCTTTTCCTTTAAAGAATAAGCTACAAAACAACTCCTTTTTGGCCTTTAAACAAGGATTACTTTAAAATTGTGAAATGTGTCCTGTCCAATTATAAAACAAGAACAAATTGATTGGCAAGTCTATGTCAATAGATCTCCATGAAATGAAGCAGATTTTTTCACGTATGAAGTCGCCATTTGACTTATTTTCACATTTAAAAAAAAAACAAAACAAGCCATTCACTCACGTGATTTAGACTACGAAAAGTATAAGTTCATGTGTCAAGCAACATCAAACCTGCCTAATGTATGATATGATGTATGTCATTATTAATATCTTTTTTGTTTGATGCATTATACTGTTAAAAGGGAATTTTCTGCCCCTTTTGCCTTTGTCACAAGTGGGTGAATTCAAAATGGGGTGAAATCAAAGAAGACAGAATTATCTCTTGAACAAAACTGTGTCTGCAAGAATTTAAAATGGACCAAAATTGTTTACAAGTGTTAAAGGGTGAAATTGAAAAGAGGCAAAAATAACCTTGTATACAGTATACTTTTGAAAATCTGAAAATTCTTCTCAATTGAAAAACTGTGAAAAATCTTGTTAACTTTTAAAGATTTTGCCACAAGATATTTTGTTTGTTTAACCTCTTCACAATAAATCAGTAATGCTCTTCAATTATCTTGAAATATGGGACAAAATCAAGGCTAACTTTATCTATCCCTTCAAAACAGAATAATGCAACCAGGCCCTAAATGAATTTCCCTAGCAGTAAATGTGTTGGTATTACAATGATCAAAGTAGCTCTGCATTGATAAAAGTGGTTAATAAATCTTTTTTAGTCTACTACGCTATCTTGGGTAACTTAGAAAACTTGAACTATTCAGAACATTTCAGACTGTCATTTCTTTGCTTTTTACTTTGTATAAAATTGTCACTGCATGTACCAATCCCCCCCCCCCCTTTTAGATTGATTCTATTCTGTTCTACAGATTAAGGTACTTTCATTTGGAGGTGTCTATCACAAAAAAACTTTGTCGTCACAAACAAAGCAGTATGGTTTAATGGTTTGAATGGCGCGAAATTTAACTCTCAGCGTACTTCAAAACAAAGCTACATACACATACACACAAAAATTGCTAACAGTATATAAAAGACCAGTCATTTAACAATTCAGCCTACCTTTCTCTCTACATTTTTCTTTAGCGATTGTTCTTTCTCTAGCTCCTCCTCATGATTTTTTTCCATACGTTTTCGTGTCACTGTGGATTCCCTCAGTAGCTTCTCAAACCTCTCCTTGTAAATGGAGTCTGTAAAATCAGATTTTCATTAAATGACTTCATATTGGTAGATCATTGTGCCAAAATTTACTATAAACTTTTCTACTCTGTTGCTCTCACAGTCAAACGTCATTATCTCAAACTCAATAGGACTAAGATAAAACTTCGAGATATCCGAGGATTCGAGACATCCAGGGTAAAACACTTAAAACAATAAGCAGTTGGGACTTACAAATCACTTCGACATACATCCATGGTATTCGAGATAATGTGTTCAAGATACCAAAGTTCAACTGCATTTGTATTTTTATTGGTGTCCTAAGCTAAGAAGAATCAAATACACAGATCTATTAACCTCCTTACCATCTCCAAAATCGTCCTCCAGCTCCCCCTCCATTGCCTGAGCTTGCCATAGGTGCATCTGAGTCACCTCCATTTCTATCTTCTCTGCATGTCTCTTCAAAACTGTATACTTTGACTGTAGAAAATTGAAAAATGTGTCAATTACACACTGTTCTAGCATAACTGACTTATTTAACTTATCTCAAAATAAATTTTTCTAATTGATAGCAATGAGACTAAATCAAGGACATATATAGGGCCAAAATAAAATTATTGTTTGTTTGGAATTGCCTCCCGACTCATTGAAATGACCCCTCCTGGAAAAATTTTATTGACCAAAAATAAGAAGATTTTTTTTTTTATTCAATCAATTCTTGGCCTGTTATCACTTGCGCCACCCAATCACTTAAAATAAGTGTCGGATCTAAGTAAAACTGGGTTCCTTGTTGATTCAGAGTTACCCTTTACAAAAAGGCAGAAAATAATGTGTTTACTGCTTGTTGAGATTTTTATCATAAATTTTTAATTTAAATTTAATTTTGAAAAAAAAAAATAATTTCCCTCCCTCCCTCCTGGGTCTGAAACCTCCCAGGCTGCAATTCCAAACAAACAATTTTTTAAGGATGGCCTAGTAAAACAGTGCATAAATGTATCAGGGGCATCACCAAATGATCATGTTCGATTTATCATCTATACTCTCAACTTTGGGTTAAAGAAACTTAAATGATAACAGAATCATGAAATAATCCAGCAATGTCTCTAGTAACAACTAACAAATGTGTATTCCTACAATAAGATGTGTGAACCATTTTGTTAACAGAATTAATAAATGTCTTATCAGAGACATAAATGACATTTTTAATGTGATATCTACATGTATGTGTCTGATTAAAGATAGGAAGAAAAACTATATACATTAATCAGGTCGAGGAAATTTATTTTCTGTGACGTCAGAATAAATTAACATGCTAAATGAGGCACCCAACGTGACTTGCAAACCGACCAATAAGCTAAATGAGTTGCATTATGGGTTACTACAAAAAATACTACACGTACGTTTCGAAAAGGCCAGTTTTTGAAATCGCTCTCGGAAAGACGATGCATTTTTCCAAGCATTTCACACACTTAATATAATATGTACATCATTTTCTACTAGTTCCATGCTCACATTTACATACAAATGTTTTACAACGGTAAAATTATGGATTTCTCCACTCCATTGTATAAGTCCGTTAGTTGACAAAAGCCTGGCAGTTTTTCCCATGCTGTATTATCAATCAGTATGAATTTCACGTGACTATTCCCTGGTCCAAAACAAATCGACTCTGAGGTGTACTCACGTATTGTCATTGTTTACTATGTAAACAACTTCGATATATATGCTACTCAGTACACATTCTATGATCAATGTACATGAAAATTAAAATGCCATGCAGCAATACACTTCTGTTTTTTATAACTGCATTAACTTTTAATTTCTAGTAAATAGGGATGGGTATCACCAAAAATTTCGTATCGTAATATATCACAATTTTTTCCCAAAATATAGCGATAAAATCGGGATATTTTTACACGGAATTTTTACTTCATTTTCAGATGAATTCCCATAATTTTTCTTACAAATACACTGCAAAAATATAACTTTACTTTTTTCCATGTTTATTTATATAATATAAAGCATGTCTGGATGCCATAGTTTAACTTTTGTTCAACATTTTTTTTATATTTTCTGTAATTTCTATTTAATAGTTCGAACAAATAAACATGATAAATAAGTAATTTCCTATATTAATAATTATGTTCCAAATACCGATTTTTAGTCTCCGTATCACAATACGTATCACGCAATAAAAAATTATGATATACCGGTATACCGATAAAATCGCCCATCCCTACTAGTAAATAAATAACAAAGTAACAACGAATAACACCAATACCATGGCAAATTTACGAATATCAAGTTATAAAAACTAGGTTCTTATTTACTTGTAAAGACTTTGTGAGCGGTATTTCAACGTACTATTTAACACAGAAACTTGATTTGTTAATGTGAGCATGGAAAATCTTAATTAGTACCTACTCTTCGTGTTTTTCACAAAAACATTAAAAATAATTATTAGTTGACTTTCCCGCAGTCATTTGAAATCATGTCCTAAATTTGCCTGACCCACTTGCTTGTAGTAAAATATAAACATGTAGTAGACCATCATGCTTTTCGGCTCATTCAGTCGATTGGACGATTGCTTGCTGTAAGCTCTCTGTGCACAATGACAACAATATCCAAATATGGTAGAATCCTTAACCTGTTAATTACTTGTGTATTTTTAATGAATAGGACATGGTTTTCTGAGATATTTTTACATAAATACAAAATTTGCAGTAAACTGTGTGAATTTAAAACATTTTTAAACTAAACAAAAAAAAATTTGTGTCTTTTTAATTTCACTTTGAAATCAGGGTAATTTTGTGTAGGAGTTTCACAAGTAGAGAGGGTCATTTGTATTGCAAATGTAACCTGAATTCCCTCTGTCTACTGTAAACCAACTTTTATTCATTACATCTTTTAATCCCAATTCGTTTCTTTGAAATCCATCCGTGACTTCTAATATTTCACAACTGAGGAAATATTTTACATAAATACACAAGTGAATCATTGGTTCACTGCGATAAATATTCACAAGTAAAAGATGGCCGTGAAACTCGTGGAATATTACTCGCATGCAAATAAAAGTTACCAAAACTTACGACCAAAGTGTTAAATTGTGGACAGACACACAGACAGATTATAATGCCAAGCAATTCCCCCTCCACTTTGAGAATCTCATTAGGTACCTGAATGTCCTTGAGTTCTTTGTCCAGTCTCATTCTGTCTGCAGTCTCGGCTTCTAACATTTCAGAGGCATGAGTGGCTGTGTCATGTTCCTCAGCTAAATCTGCTGTCACCTCCGCCAACTAGAAGATAAAAACTAGAAATGTCTTTTAAGAACCTAAACTTTACAAAAGGAACATTTTAAGCTGGCACAAATGTTAATTAACAAGAGAGATAATCAAATTTATCATCTACAAAGCTGAGGAAATAGATATGGGCCTTTCCTTGCTAAAGCAAGTAGAAGACTTTCCCCTAAATTAATGCCCCCAAAAGCACCGTGAAATAAACCCAACCCTGATGCACAAAGTATATCCCTCTCAATGTCACACATAAAATTGTGTCATAATAAAAACAATA